GAAATAATAGTCTATTAGTATCTTAATCACTGAGAGAAAATAATTCTGAAGTGACTTATTAAATTATACTGAGAGTCTGCTAATAACTATAATTTCTTATTGAAGTAGCAGTCAGAGTAGCAGTGATATTTAAGCTATTTTAAGCTGATTCAGTTGTTAGTTATCAGTCATTCTCTGCTTTAACTATGAGTACTGTCATCATGTATATCAGTGATTATATAAAAAAAGCAAAGCTTATATAATATATAAAGAAATGACTGAATATGTATATTAATTTACACTATATTGAGTAGATTAAAGAATATACAGTATTCAACAACTGTAATATTCTGATAGAAGAGAATAAGTATCAGAACTACAAGAATCTAATATAGTAAATAAATTATTGAGATATAAAAAAGATACTACTCTTATAGAAGAGCTTTCACTGAACTTTATAACTAATATTAAGAGATTTCTTTAACAGCTCTGATATATATCTGGCACAGAAGATTCAAGATTTGTATACAGTTTATTCAGCACTGTTCAATAATCTGCTGAGAATAAATGAAGAAGTTAAAGATAAGAATAATAATTTACTGAACTACTCTATTAAGTTAAAGTTAATAAAAGATTATATTACTCTGAAGATTTTTAATCATCTATTATTAAATAAGATATCAGAGAAAGTCAGTATATAATTTATAAATCTCTTTAAGCTTGAATTGCTTTATTCATTTCTTAATAAGCTATGAAAATTCTATAACACTGATTGAAATAAGCTCTCAGTTTTGAAATCAGATCACTGTTCAATACTTTTCTATAATAAGTTAATATTCTTAGTTCAGTATGTCTATTCAATCAATTAATCAATTAATCAGTTATTAACTTATTAATATATAAATCAGAGATCACATTCACTGAATCTCTCTTATAAAAGAGAATATCATTTAATATCAGAGAACAGAGCTTGACTGAATTATAATTATATTTATTCATAAAATAAGAGAAGTTAAGTGAATTTTCTTTATACTTATTTCTCTATATCATGTCATGCATGATTATCTACTGAATCTGCTGATTTTATAAGAGAATTCTGATAATTACACTATTATCAGACTGCTGGTGATTTGAAAGACAGCATTGTATAACATTTTAATACAGAATAGTGATAAAAATGATGATTATTTAATATATGAGTCTTGAGCAATAAGATATTTGTATTACAATTGAGATATCTCATTTCTTTAGATAGATAGTTGATCTGAGATCAGGTAACTAGCTTAATAGTATATTGATTTCACTGACAGAACAGTATACAGTGTCTTATAATATCTTAGTAGTATTCTGATAATGACATCTGTCAATTACACAGTTACTGAGTAGTGTCATGATGATGTTAGAAAGTTCTGTGCCATCTCAACACCATCTTGACATTTAATATTCAGTGATGTGTTGCTGAATATAATGGTGGAACATGTGTTACAATCGGCGACACGTGACACGGGTGGAATGGTGGATCCACGGTGTAATCACCGTAAATTAACCCTACGTTCTTCCCGTATGGTAAGGCTAAGAGTTGGCAGGTGGCAGATGCTGCTTTAACCCAGACAGGGGACGCATCCATGCAGACGCAGTGCCGAGTACAAACCAGACTGTGTCGGGATACAGCTATGTCCCGCCAAAATAACAACTACAGCTATTTAGAGTGGTACAGTACGTAGACACGCAGACACCTAGCAAGCCCAAACGACCACCAAAGAACGCCAAAAGATTATGTGACTATTGGCGTTGAATTCGTTTAGTTATTCAAAAAAATAAGCCTATCCTGTACGGTGACGTTCGTGGCGGGGGACCAAAAGCAAGGGGTGTGCAGATAGTCACCTATGCATCAAGGTAATGGAGAAAAGTGCCATCTTATTACAACTGTGGGTTGTTCTATCCCCGCTGTTTCGCAAGGATTCCCGTCCGGTCCGTAGTGACGGTGGCATTAATGATTTTGTCAAAGGTTGCGTCTTCACTGTCATCTTGACTATCATCGCCATTGCCGTCATCATCAAGGATGTTGGCTTGTCTAGAACCCAAAACTGTTCCGGCGGCGCCGTTCCTAGGTGCTTCTGGCCTCTTAGTTTTCTCGAGCTGCGGCTTGGATTCCGTTTCATCTGTTGTGACATTCGTAAACGGCTTTGAATTCAGTACTCTCCGGCGTAACTCTGCCATCTCCTCTTCATCATCCGATTCCTCAGGCAGCGCATACAGGTCTCTGTCTGAATAATCTTCCTCGTCATCCTGTCCTCCAGATTCTTCTCCATCTTCACTTTCCTCCTCTTCCTCCTCACCTTCTGAATCTGGGATATTTCGTCTGTTCGTATTCCCAACGGTCCACATATCATCGGTCCCCTTGTCCACCCGACTCTCAGAATACTCCCTCTCGATTTTTTCCAACCAGTATTCCTGCGTATTCTTCACATCCTCTTCCGTTTTACAAGCTGCATATCGTTTCAAAAGTTGAGAATTGATCTCCAAAAATGCCCTGCCGTACGAAAACTTTTTTAGAACTTCGCCAGCCCAATCCTCATGCCCGCATATGTAGAAGGCAGCCGCTAGTGCCTCTGCGCAGTTTAGCCGCCAGGGACGTCCGTAATTGACTGAGTTTGCAGCAACGAGGTAAGGTACTACGGGAACTGTGTAAGTTAATCGTGGCTTATTTGATGAAGTTCCAATGGCCCGCCATGTGGGAAAAAGGCATCTCATTCGTAGGACGGGGAGAAAAAAATAAGGAAGTACTCACATAATCTCTCACACTTCCCCCCAATTTTCGACCAGGGGACTTCCTGAGTCCTCACCCACGAACATTCCACAACCGCAGCCCCATATTGTTCCAGCAACTCGCGATCAGCCGGGGAGATCGTGCGCTTCGCATTAGGTCTAGAAAAAATCAGAGCGGAAAAGGAGATATTAGCATGCAGAAAAAACAAACGAAATGGAAGTTTGCAATATTGGGGTGGGGGAATCCGAAAACTGTGTGCGTTGTAGGTCTACACTCACGAAATCACAACCCCGGCGAATTTCTGTCCGATCTGTAGCTCGCGCATAACACCATGTTGCATCAGCTTTTTGCCGGAGCATCGCTTAGGGTCACAATGACCCAGGTCCCAACAGGCAGCTTTAAAGGGGAATTTCTTGGGCGCGTCGGGGTCGCCGTCGACAGAGGAGTCCCGAAATCGTTGGCGGGGTTGCGATGAATAGTTGCCTCCTCTTCCTCGTTTGCCGAAGTTATCTTTCTTGTGTCGAACCATGTTTCCTTCTCTTTTTTAAAAAAAGAAAACGGGGTGATGTAATGTAGGAGGTCTTTTACTAAAGCCGAAAAAAAAAAAGAAAAAGAGAGAGATAGAAGTTCAATTGTTATGAGGTAATAATACGGATTTTGTCATGACGAACGTGCTTGCGAGGTTGGCGCCGGTCTTGGCGCAGTAGCGGGGAATAACCTAATTCCGATTTGAAATAAGAAAAAAAGTTGTAGTTGACTTAAATAATGAGGGTCTATCATTTGCGACAACGGTGAACAAAAAAGACATTCGAATAATATTTTGAAGAATTGAGAACTATCCTTCCCCAGGAAGGTAATGTCTATTAAAGGGCTGTGAAATAACTAGGCTGTCAGTTCCCTAACGTCCTTGCGTTAATGTAGCGGTCACCAGCGCTGTTAGACGGGAGGTAACATTCCTGCAATCCATTCTTCAAGCGATCAGGCAATAATACCCCATGCGATTCATATTCAATTTTTTCCCGTGTTCCAGACTCAATATACTATGAAGCGTTGTGCTAGATCTCAACGTTGTCTAGGCGTGTAGGTCCACCCCTATAGGGCGTTTAAAACTCTCACTCAGAACAAGCATTACAGTTATTAACCATTGTCCGGGTTTGGAAAAGAAAGGAACGCTGAAGCTCAAAGCCGCCCACCCCTTGGGACCCTAGTCGGGTGAATGGCGAGACTGGACACTGGGGCAATAAACCTGAATACATTAACCTCAACCGACGCTCTAACCCTCGAGAGTGTAGATGCCATAGCGCCGCACCGAGGAGGTAGCTGTGTATTTTTATCATCAGCTTGAAGTATTGAACTAAGGTGCTAAGTAATTATCCCGCATTGCCAACGGCTTTGACGTCGTAAAGTGTCCTATCGTATATACATGAGCACTTTGCCGAGGGCATATGACGGATCTTTAATTTCAGTTCAATTTCAATTTCATCGTCTCTGTCGAATAAACTTGAGGCTTAGCCGCACCATGTCTGTTATGAACACAAGCTGCTAGTTGATTGGGAACATACCAGCGAGGTCCAGCTTTCTTTCCTCCTGGAAACTGCGGAGCTTTTCCGCGTCGTTACCAAAGCGGAGCCCGGTACTGGAAATGAGGAAGATGAATATAAAGATTGAGACGCGTGGTATGAGATTTCTGACAGTGCTGACACTGGCTGTAGCGTCTCCGCCGTTTATCCCGTGACAAGTTTTTGAACGTGGTAGACGTGCTCAAGTTCTTCGCTCGTATGATAAACTTCACTGCTCCTGGAACCTTCCCTAGAATAGAAGATAATTCGGGGTAAGGGATGCCGTCGCTTATTGAAATGAGCAAGAGCTATCTAGGTGGCAAGGGCTAAATTCAAAATTGGATGTAATTTTCACCATTGTTATGTTCCCGCCAGTCCAGGTGCGGTACTGATGACATGTGTGGAAACGAATGGAGAACTCGAACTGTGTCCATGAGGTTGTTCGCTTCTGGCGTTTAAGTTTGGGGATTGTTTAGCTAGATGGGAAACAAGCACGGGCATTGTTAGCGTCCATTGCCGTAGGGTTTTGAGAGAATAAAGACAGAGATGACATCCCAGAGATAGCTACCGTAGCAGTGGGGACCCTGATGAGTGAAGGATCCTGATGAGAAGTTGTGGCTATCATTAAGAGCCATTCAAAAAGCTGTGGCAATCGATGTAGACACTCAAAAGTAGGGGTGGAATTTAAAAATTTGGCAGCTGCAGTACGAGATATTTTGTTGTAGAAAGAAGCAGGCCCATTCCCGTAATCACGGAGAAACATATCATTCCGCTCAATAATATGTACTGACGAAGAAGTCAGAATGGAATCGCAAGGTAGAAAGCAAAGTTATTTAGCTAAGTCCCCAGCTCTGTGTAAATAAATGGATCAAAGGGCCGGCAGATTGAACGGGCCAGTTTCCGCGATTAGTTGCCCGGAAGCAGGCCTGGCAGGCAAGTTCTTACCAATGTCTCCCGAGTTCACTGGACAAGGCCTTTGCTAAGATGTTGTTGTTCATGTTGGTGTTGGCGAGGTGGAGTTGTTGTATTGGGCTGAAGAGGAGACTTGAGCCTCAACCCCACGTGGATGAAAGAGGAAATGGTCAACTACATAATCTCTTCCAATGTCCAATACCAGCATCATCCTCGTCATCATTGATATCACGACAGAACGGCCGACGCATCCTTTATTACGTGGCGGGAGAAAAGCAGCTTTCATTCTACGCTTTCAGATTTCCCATTTTAGGTTTTGATTCTCTTATCTATCTGTCAACCTGGAGGCGACTTCAGCACGCATGGCAGCGAGGGACCGATTTGGTGCCTACGCTGAACCCGCGCAATCAACGCTACAACGATACATCCGTAGGTTCCTTTTGCTTCCTACCTCTCACAGTATCTTCCACGTCCTTTAATTTAACATTGTTTCGCTATAGACAATGCTTGCGACCCACAGAATTTCGAACCCAACCTCGCTCTGAACCTCGAAGTAGCGGATCTGATAAACTCCAAAAAGGGCAATGCGTGAGTTCCTTGGCTCGAAACTGTCCCTTTTATCTACTATTTCATTGACTCTGGCGATTGAGAAGGCCTCGGGAAGCCGCTGTCAGCATAGTACAGCTCATTAATTCGCGGAATCCCAATGTCGCGTTGCTCGCCTTAGCGGTATGTCGTGGTGCCTTCCAAGTCGGAAGGAGTGGGATACTGATGGTGATAATGGTGTTAGCTTCTTGATATATGTGTGAAGAATTGCGGATATCCATTTCATCTCCAAATCAGCACGAAAGAATTCCTTAATGAACTGGTACGGAGATTCCCCGAACGCCCTCCGATCCGACCATCCAGGGTACAGCATCGAATTCTAGAGTCGATCGAGGAATGGCGACAGACAATATGTCAAACATCACGATACAAGGAGGATTTGGGGTTTATCAGGGATATGCATCGCCTGCTACTTTACAAAGGTTACATGTTCCCGGAAATTCGGCGGGAGGATGCTGCAGTCTTAAATCCTAGCGATGTATGTCGTCATTTATCTTCCTACTGTGTTAGGGTAATATTGACCATGAGGTTAGAATCTCCAATCTGCTGAGGAAATGGAAGAAGAGGAACGAGCTGCCCAATCAGCTAAACTTCAAGAGCTCATTCGAAGAGGAGGCCCTGAAGACCTACAGGAAGCGAACAGGTTGATGAAAGTGATGGCGGGGTATGACTTGAGACATAAAACGGACTACCGAGCGAAGGCTGCTGAAGAGGTCGCCAAGGTCCAACAAAAGGCGAAGCTTTTGGAGGAAATGCTTCAAAGTTACAAAGCAGGTGATAAATTAACAGAAGGGGATGTCTTTGAGGTCGGTAATGCCTTAAATCAAAAAATAAAATAAAAAATAGGATTGCGTTTAATGAAAACTTCCAGGAACTCGCCAACGCTCTGCAAAGCGCACATCCGAAAATCCAGAAAATGTGCGAGGAGGAGTCGGATGATTCAGAAGCTGTTGCCAAACTCTTAGAAATCAATGATAGCATACATCGGACGATCCAGCGCTATAAGTTAGTGAAGTCGGGCGACCTAGATGGGGCTGCCAAAATTCCGAAAGGAACGCTGGGGACAAAGACCGGCGTGAAGAAGAATTCCGATAATGAGTTATCCTTGATCGATTTTGGCGACGATACTGAACCTAGCTCCAATGGCAGCACGACTGTCAGTACGTCGCAATCGCAAGCTCCACTGTCATCGGAGGGCGACCTCCTTGGTCTTTCATTTCAAGAAAATTCACAACCACAAGGTGGCGGCATATCTCTCGGACATGGCCTCAGCTCAGGTAAGTTAGCCCTGAAAATTGTGCGAATCAAGTTAACACCTGCAAGGTCTATCGACGTTACCGGGGCTCTCGTCTACATCATCACTATCCGGAAACCTGTTTAATAGCCCAGCCCTTTCCACATCTGCTGTCTCAGTGTCGGAAACCCAGCCCCCGACATCTATGCCAGCCTCAATCCAGCAACCACAACTAACAGCAACGACCCCACCAGCGGATACATTCGCATCTCTAGGCTCGGCACGTTCCCAGACATCGTCACCGTTCAACCACCTGCAAAGCTCCCTGGTCTCTAGCTCCTCACCATCGTCCCTTCTTGACCTAGGGCAGGGAATGTCTCAGAGAGCAACGCCGCCGACAGCACCCACAGCTACTGCAGGGGATGATGAATGGACCTTCGCCTCGGCCCTTCCGGAGAACAATCTGCCTAGCACCAGCAAGGTACAAGTCCTGAAGTCATCGATAGGCATTGATTTCGCCGCCTGTAGGAATGCAGGGGATCAGAAGATTCATGTAGTAGTCTCCTTTTCAAACAATACCAGCCAACCAATTTCGGACCTCCACTTCCAAGTTGCAATTGAGAAGGTAATCCGTCTTCCCGCTTCCCTCCCTCCCTCCCGCGCTCCCTCTCTCAGCACCCTCCTCCCTTCCCCTCCGGCCGTATTATCCTTTTTACCCCTCCCCTCTATCAACGACCCACATAGTCCCATGTACTAATGCCGTTAACTACTAAACAGGCATATAATTTACAACTGACGCCACAGTCTGGACGTAACATAGCCCCGCTGCAGCAGAATGGAGTTCGTCTTGAAATGCACTTGAGTGGAATCCCATTCGGGAACGGGAACTTGGTTAAACTGCGGTATAAGGTTTCGTATAAGCTTGGAACGGAGGAAAAGGAAGAGCAGGGGCGTGTACCTCCCTTAGGCATAGCATGATTGTACTATTTGCAATTCACCACCCTTTCTCTTCGCTCTTTGAACTAGCTTGTTGAAAACGAGAGCGTGAACGACAGAAGCGAAGGGGGGTTGGGAAATCGAGATAAATAAACCAAGCATGACGCAGGAATCTATAAAGCCGACCAAGAAATAGCTGGCAAACATTACGAAGCTAGTGACTTTTTTCAACGAGACTTCCAAGTTCTTTTCGAAGTGGAAGCGTTGTTTCCCTCTTTGTTTAATACTGGCTCCCAATTTTGACCAATCTAATGAGACTCCGCGGCTCCTGTACTCTTTTTTACTCTTTTTTCTTGCTTTCGCATTCCTTCTAGTTATTCCTTGTCAAATTCTAGAACCCCAGATTTTATAGTGGTAAACAAAAAAAAAAAAAAAAAAAAAAAAAAAAAAAAAAAAAAAAAAAAAGTTCTTATCACACAGCGCATGTACGGGGCTTATCGTAATCAAATTGAAAAGGTAACTAACTAACCGGGCTGGCCGGCGTGCCGTGCGCTTCAAGTGGAGCCTGGCGATCCTTAGTAGATCCAACCGTTGCTAAACTCAGACGAACCATCAGTTCGTTCGGGAGCGGCGCTACTAGATTCGTTGAAATCAAATTGCCCGTCTGCGAAGTAGAAGTTGGGAGTCATGATGATGAAAAGCTTAGCTATTCGGTTTAAGGAATATTGAATAGAAAAGCCAAAGAAACGCAAAGAAATAAGTCCTTTTTTTCTTCTTTCTAATATAGGAATTTTAGGAGTGTCCCGTCTCCCCCCACTATCCCCTCTCTCCTGACGTGGCATTTTAAGACAGGCATCCCTAGCTATGCCTCGACGGTCGGGAAACCCGACAATTCAACCGCCTTTTCCCTCCACATGAAAAACTAGTCGGACAATTGCATTGTATTCATATGCAATAATTAGATAAAATAATCCATGACTCCTGCATAAGAGACCTACCCTAAACAGTTGGCGTGCAGTATGATGTTGTCATATTGCCTTAGTTCTTCAAATGGATTGTTGTGGGTTTGTGGTCACTGGAATCTGTCTTCTTCTCTTTGTACAGTACATGGGCCTGTACGGAGTACATTGTACCTGCCTAAGTGTGCATATATCCTCACCTGTGGAGCTGCCATGACGCCAGCACATCATGTGTGCATGAAATCCATGTACGCAGCGTAACTATTGCCCATGCAACAGTAAACAAGGTGCATATACAGCAATAGTTCACCTATCATTATAACTTTCTATTTATTCCGCTCCCCCTCCTTGCCAGGTGACCTCAACGTGCATTACAATTAATTTAAAAAAAAGGTAGCAGAATGGGGAATCAAGAGCGCCCTAAAAGCAGGTACAGTATTCTCAGGAGTTGTGATTTGCGTGCCATACGCAATATTTATGTCAGGCGCTTCAGTTACCAGCCCATAATTTTAATTTTAATTTCTATTTTTGTTAATATCTTTTTACATGGGTGTTTACATACACCATACTTTTTACTAAATAACCCCTCTGCTATATATAAAGGACTCTGTTTAGTTCGGTAATTATCTTTCCAGTAATTAATATGTAAAAAACTTCTGACTGTCTGCCTGCAATATATCTGCAAGATCACTGTGAGAGTAGAGGCCCCCTAGCTAGCTAGCTGCCTGCCTGCAAATATATTCATGAGATCTGACATCAAATAGAGATATTCCTAGCTAGTTGCCGGCCTGTCTGGCTTCTATATCCCCGATATATATATCTATGAGAATAGAGATTGATGGCTGCACTGCCTGTCTGCCTGCCCGCCTTGCAATATATCCTGGCTACCTCTCTATCCCTCATATCCACCAGATCTCTATGAGAATAGAGGTCTCTAGCTAGTTAGCTAGCTAACTGCCCATCTACAGTCTATATACATACTTCATTTGCTCCACTTATTCTAGCAATGCTTATAGCACTGCTTCATCTATTGAAGAGGATTTAGAGAGAACCTCCACTATATAAACTATACAGGATTAAACAGATAGTTGCAGAAAAATCTAGTAGAGAGAAGAGAAGAATGCAGACGTTGCTTTTTTTATCACTACTTCTCATTCTTAATCACTGCTTTTTATCTGTGTTGATAGTGTACATAAGATTTCCAGTTTTTTACATATTAATTAATGGAAAGCCAATTACCACACTATTCCTTAATTGAAATAGCTGTGGTGTATTTAGTAAAAAAGGGTGGTGTATGTATAATCAAATGGGATATCCTTCAATTTTATCTAGGGGCACCCAAATTGTACGGTCAATTGGTACATATAGTAGATCTTACTTTTATGGGAAAGTATATTGGAGATTTACTTTTGATTCCATTAACGTGCAAATCCCGAAGCGATAAAAGCCTCGCACCCTTGCGGCGGAAGGGTGGATGCTGCTAAGCGCTCCCTCTCACTGTGGCAAAATATGCACGGGAAAAATCCGTTTTATTGTAAACAAGTTATAGCGACTCATCTGGCTTGTCTGTAGTCCGGCAGATAGAACATGCCGGATATGTATTTGGAGTGTTCGTGTTTAGTTGCCACAAGTACGTTAAGCCGTCGGATGTGTACCGGTGGCACTACCATAGGAGCACCTAAGTAGCTGTATTATATTCTCCGAAATTCTTCTTTTAGTGCTGACAAGATTGACAGGGGGTACCTGTCATTGATATATGATTGACTTTTGTATCCCTGCGAGGAACATCTTGAAGATTTCGGCGGTGTGTTATGTCGACGAGAGGGGCATGTTTGCTCGCGTTTCGTCCTCCTCGGCTTCGTGGAAGTGGGGAGATGGCTCTGCATTGGGTGTGCTGTACAAACGATGGCGGTACAAGATAATAATAACCAGGTAGGAAAATATCGGCACTTGGAGTGGCGAAACGAATATATATAGGAATAGCGGTAGGCAGACAGCTGGCCCAACTGAGTTTGAGCAGAACACCCCGAAAAATCACCCCGCTCTCCAGGCTCGACCACAAAAACGAGCAAAAAGCAAAAAGAGCATTCCTTAGCGGCGCCAGAGCTTCCACTGCCTTCCAGGGGAGGTTTAGCCACTTTGAAGATCAAGGCTAAACCAAGGAATCCACTTAAAAAGGGCTACGCTGTAACTTAGTTTGCTGGCACCCCCTACACTATGTAGTTCAACCCCAGCAAAGATCAGTGGGATTGGGTGACGAGAGAGGGAGTTCTTGGCAATTGATCCTCTGTCTCTCTCAATATTCTTGTTGTATCTCAGATATGCTGCAGATGTTGAGGCCGCCATTATCTGTATGCTGTGCACTCTAACAAGGTCAACAGGGTTGTACGTGGTTCATTTACTCCCGGGGCACTTTGACGAGCCTGCGACGATTATATAATCATATGAGGTTCTCCTATTGGCCAGATCCAATGATCAGCCACTAAAGGGGGACGATCGTACTAGTCCACAAGAGGTCTAGTAGACTGCTGCCGACCTTCATCCCTAAGCCCAGACCAGGTCGAGCTCAATCAGGAAACTTTTGACCTCAACCAAGACTCGGTACTAAAATCCGCAGCTTGTTCTCTGCCAACCTGGAACCTGCAAACCATATCCGGGCTTTGCTGTACCTTGATGTCTGTTCTGCCCTTACAGCGGCCATTATAGTGCCATCTGGTGCCATCTGGTGCGGTCTGGTGTTGTTTGGTGCCCTGCCTGTTACCCCATGCTTGGTTCATGGAAGCGAGAATGCTGTAAGTGAGGGAGCGCGTACTCTTGGAACGGTTTCCAAGTCTCAGGTAGGTACACAATCATTTTTCAGTTCTCACTGGGGGCTGATAAGGCTCATTTCAAGGTTAAAGTTGCCATTTGGTGGTGTGTACCTATTCCCATCCTCTCCTCTGCCCGAATGGGTCTACTATGTGCCCATCCAGCCCCCTCCCCTTGAGACTCGAGAGCTTTTGGCTTACAGTGGCGCCGGAAAGTCAACTCGTTAGTTTGGCCATTTCATGTTCCCCTGCCCTTATGGCCGGTTTTCAGGACCGAAATTGTAAAGTGTGATACAGGCCCTCCCTTTGGCCCTGCTCGCCCTCATTCCGCAATTGTAGAAGCGAGTATAGTGGTAAAATATTGCGAATGCTATATATCCATAAATCCCACATGGTTTGCTTCTGGCGAGGAAGCAATTTCTGGATTGCGCGGGATCTAAATGATTACGGTGATACATCCCAGCTGCTGCCTCTTCTTCCCTTATGCTGCTTCTTTAAGAAAAAGAGGATGAAGAAGAACATCGAAGGAGCAAATACTCCCAACGTTTCTGCCACGGGTAAAAGGAAGACCGTCTACGCAGGAGTAAATCCTCCCCAGCTCACACTTTGGACCCCTGCATAAGCCTGTGGCTAGCTTGTCCTTCATTCCTACTACATGCATGCTTGCTACGTGTGGTCTGAGCTCGGGCGCTTCTGAATTCCCAGCATTAATTTCAATAATATAAATAATTGTTATTCCCTGCGAACGGCACAGCTGGAGAGTGACCGGGTTTGGCTCGACCCGTGTGTAGAGCACGAGCTACTACAGGCCCACACGGCCCATCAGAGTCTAGGTAGCAGATACATAGCATAGGGAACCGTGGTTAAGACGGAAAGTATAAGGTGGGACTTGGACTAGCGAAATCCTTTTCGGTCCCGACCTATTCTTCCCCAGACCCTTTCCTCCACCATTACTTTTTGTCTTGGCTTGTCTTCAAGTTCCCACATCCCCCACTATTACTACATATCCCCTCGCTCCTCATCTCCGTCACACAACTTGTTGCTGTTATCGTTCCCCATGCAATAGCCAAGCACATCGGAGGGAAATATTTGCTTTTTGTTTGAACTCCCTCGTATGCCAGAAAGAGACACAGAACACAAGCCCTTGTTTATTACGTTACGTTTTATTTCGTGCCACCTCATTCATATATATACTCTACGAAACACTGCACAACAGCCTTATTCCCCTCTATTATTACAAGACACCGTCGCCTGTTCATATCAGAACGGCTGCTTCTCTGTTCTTCTGTCCTGTCCCTTCGCCTCCCAGTAAGATATAATACTTTCCTTGGCCCCTGGTGACTCTATAGCCATGACCTCTCCAACTTCCACTCGCGTGAAAGAGAAGAGGGACACCAGGGAATTGGAAGAGAAAAATGAGACAGAAGCGGAGAGAGAAGCAAGAGAGAAAGAAGATGTTAAACGACGGTTGGAAAACCGAGAAAGGTTAGCTTTTTTCCCTTCTCCCGCTACTATAGTGCTTGTTCCTGAGTCACCTAACTGTTGAATAAGGGCATTCATCGCCGCTTCTAGAAGAGGGGATAGGACCATGGAAGCACGGTTTGAGTCCGCGCTGCGTGCATCAGAAGTTCACAAGGAACGAACTGGAAAGGGTTTGCGCATCACGCTCGAAGCTGTCGAGAGAGAGGAGATGTACGATGAATTAGATGATGAGCACGGTAGGAAACGTCGGTGCCATATCGATAGTCTTCAGCTCAGGTCCCAATCGTTGGATGTACATTTACATCCGTACATGTTGGCCAATTTTGCCAAAACTCATGCCGGTCAACCATTCCCGCAGTTGAACGGTATGCACAATCCATACCATACAGGGCCGATACCAGCTCCGGAAGTATATGGTTCGGCAATATACCGCTTCAATGGCGTACCAGGTGTGGAGGGCATGTTCAATAATCCGTTCAGCCCATCAGTGCCAAATGGAAGGCCCAATTCTCTCCCCATTTCACACAACACTCCCGGCTATGAAAGCCAGGGATTCACCAATTTTAATGGTCAGAGTAACAGACTTAACCGACGAGTTGCTTCGGATCCCGCCATTGATGTTACACACCTGCATCACGCTGGATCATCAACCGTGCGACCGGAATCTCACCCGCAGAAGTCTATTCCTAGCTATTCCATAAACCACCCTTCCCAACAACAGCAACAGTGGCAGCAGCACCTGGAACAAACTCGACAGCAAGGGAACCATTCAACAAGACCACCTTCAAATATCCAACAATTATATCGAACCGTGCAGCAGGTCTCTCCAACTGGTCAGCAAAGAACGTCAAGCGTCAGGCCAGCTCCAAATATTCGGCGGCAATCATATCAGGATCTCCAGCAACCGCGCCCTCGACGCCTGAACACACAATACAGAGCAAACCAAGTTATACGCATGAATTCCTTTGACTGCATGCGCTACGCCCATACCCCAGCTACCAATTCTTCAGCCGAAGGGATGGGAACCCCAGGCAGTTATCCCTCGAGTGCCACCGAGTACAACTGGGGTGTCAACAATTCCGCAGTGAATTCCGCCCCAATACAGAGTTCCATTAGCGCCAGTGCCGATTCTCGTAACTCGAATAATCATAACTGTATGTCTTCTTCTGGAAGCGTCCAGGAACCGGAAAATCAAGCTCTCGACCCGGCTGCCCAGTGCAAACCAATCCCAATTAATACCAAGAAGCCTATGGTCCAGACGCCATGCCTTGGAACATCCCCAGTTTCCCGAGGAACTTCGGCAGGCTCACTGACCACCTCCGGTTCAAGTCTTGCTGACCCATCCCTTCCTTCGCCAGCAGTAAATCAAGGTTTTTGCGACCAAAACGCGCTTACAATGGGCTTAAGTGAATATCTCCAGAATTCAATACTGGACAACAACGACCTTTTCGCTGAAGGAATGCCCGGTTCAGAAACGTCTTCCTTCTTCCAAGACGCTCTTCCAGACGTCAACGGCCTTGAGCTTAGCACTGCTTCCCACGAGGGCGCTGATGATAATCCGTTCCTCAAATATGACTTTTCAGACACATTTGGTATCTCATCCTTCTGATGGATAATTTGTGAACCACCAAGCGCAGGAACATAAACTTTTATATCCATGTCTTCTGTATATCCGTTTATACTCTCACGCTCACTAATACTTCATTGGTATTCTTATTTACTTTTCTTTTTATTTTTTTTTTCATTTTTTTTTTTCTGTCTGCTGAAAAGCATGAAGACCACCACACCATCTTCGTCTTCTCTACGTTTTTCGCATTGCCTGGTGCATTTTTTAGTAACCGTACGCCTCCCAATTTTCCCTTGATTTGAGCCTTCAAATTACTTTTTGTCAAAAAGAGCTGAAACGAAACGATGATATGTGTGTGTATAGAGCTCGGGCAGTTAAGGAAACCCCAATGCCCGCACCGTGCTTCTTTTTCTTTTTCTTTCTTTTTTTTTTTATGATTCTCCTCTTGCCCATCTGGGAATCCAGAGCAGAAAGCCTGTTTGTCCATACCCAGCCCGTGAGAATAGCTCATAGCGTCCAGCTTGAAAAGGGTGAAAGCTATGATAGAATACAGAAAGAGCACATAATTTTGCTTTCCTTTGTTTTATGCCCTCTTGTCATATCCATGCCTCGCTGCCAAATCTTCTTTCAATGTTTCATTACCCTACTGTACTTTTTTTTTTTTTTTTTTTTTTTTTTTTGGAAATTATTTTATTTCCTATTTTCTATTTTTATTTTTATTTTATTTGATAATGTTTTGACATATTCCAGCTTTTTAACCTTGTGTGCTCTTTACCTAATTCTATTGTTTAATGTCGCGATCTTAACACACCTGATACCTTCTGTGAGCGGTATTGTTGTTTTACATATATCTATCAACCACTATACTCCAGCTACGCGCGCATACACTCATAGCTAGCGTGCGCAACTTGTTCATAGTTAAGCCTATTTTGTTATCATTTGGTTATCTCTGTGTGGCGAGTAGTGGCGAGCGGCGATAAGCGCGGGGGTTGGGAGTCGGGAGGCCTGAGGCTGAGAGCGGCGGACGGAGGGAAGCAAGATTCCTCATGCCCTCCACATTCATGTTTTCCCGCTCCTCATATTTTTCCTTTTGGTTTACTTGTGGTTTTCGCTTTTGGAACTGGTATGTATATGAAGCAGATTTAGTTTAAATAAAGGGGATGAGGAATGGTAGAAAGGAAAAGAAAAGAATAAAATAAATAACAAGGGGCCTAAAAGCGGCGGATTATTTATGCAGGGAAGAAATAGTGTATGAAAAGAGTTTAATTCTGAAACTTCTATTGAATATCTCTGCTTTCTTTTTCTTTTCTCTTTTCTTTTTCTTGATGCTTTTCTTTTCTTTTTTTTCTCTTTCTTCTCTCTCTCTCCTAATTCGCAAAAGGCCTCGATAATCTAAGAGGTGGCCAATTGGTAAACTTCATTCTGAGTACCTTAGGAACTGAAACATCAAGATACCTATTATTATTTACACAGTGTAACTTACAATTATTAAAGATGAATATAGATGTAAGTAGATAACCCTGTGCCCTCGCTTAGCTTTTTAGCCGAGGGTAATTTTCGGCTGTCCAAATGTTTACCATTATTGTTATTATTGTAATGTAACTTCATGTACTCCGTACGGAGTACCTGACTTCTCAAAGAAGAGAAGTGAGTAACTTTTTTCAACGCTTCTGCACTCTCTCTCATCTTACTGTTTCCCCCCGCCTTTTTGGAAATGTATGCATATGCATCTCTTGCTAATTTGCCGTCCAACCAATAAATTAAAGTGCACTGACTCCGAAAATAAGCAAATAATTACTCCGTAAAATCACTCAGATAACTATCCCTTATCAAAAGCCCTGCCTCTCGCCCCCTGCGCCCGCCGCCAGCCGCCCGCCGCCCGCCGCCCCCGCCAGCCCGCCAAGCCCCTTCCTTCAGCCCCTCAGCCCTCCAGCGCCCGTTCCCCATATTTTAAACTCCCCATCTTCATGGCTCGTAAGGCCCGTGAGTCTTGACCTAAAGATAACTTTAAAAAACTTTAAAAAGGTGGTGAGGCTCCACTTTCTTTCTATTTTTCCACCCGCTAAACTACCAATCTGGCGAAGGCTGGAATGGTGCAGTTTGCCGGGGCTAGGCGGCGCGATTGGTAGGATCGGGCCAATATTAAATGCATAGTTAAGAAGATGGGGTGGCAGTTGGCTGGTTGGCTAGTTATTGGCTGTCACAGGTTTGGCTGTTTGTTGGCTGTTGATGTATCCTGTCAAGGCGCCGGGGAATTTCGAAAAGCGTGAAGATAGAATTAATTTGGGGATGATTGGTGTAAAAATGAATATCTGGTCTGCACTATTTATGTCTAGAAGTGCCTTTGGCAACACAGAATATGTCTACGGAGTATATGCTACGATATATCGATACATCCCATGTAAGTCTGATTGGTTCTATCTTAGGAGGAAGCTATGTAGTTTGCGGGGCGCTAGTTAGTCCGTAACTAAATGAGAGGCGATCGTTGTGCAACAACACCCACGATGGCGGCCCGCTACAAAAATGTTCAACCTCTCAACTCCATGAAAAACCAAATTTGGTAGAATTGTGGGATATTATTCATAATCACCAAAGAACCAGCTGGACTGAACACCTGGCTTTATATTGTTCTAGGGTCTTTCCTTCCAGAACTTTACCCTTCGACATGTCAGAGCTGATATTTTTTGGCCCTCTTTCTTCTGTGGTGGCTGCACGTCTGTGTGGTGTTGTTTTATCTCAAAAGGTTTTCTTGTTGTGTCGGTTCGGTACTCATTTTCTAGGCTTCTACTGATCATCGCGCGTTAGTCTCGTGGGAGTTTTCTCCCTGTCCCAAACAGCTCTAGAAGGCGGATGAATAGGAGCTCCGAGGAAGACTATGCCTCGCCTCTTCTGTAGTTTCTGTCTGAAACCCCCCGCCTCGTTACCGTCACCTCACATCTCGCAAGGACGTTTCCGAAGGACTCGCGGTTCAAGTTCTGACTAGTGATGAGACTGAAGATGGCAATTCGTAGCGAAGATTTTCGGGTCGGAGGCCCATTCCTATGCACTGTTCCTGCCATAGGTACTCCCATTGCATTGCGTCAGATCATCCTCTCCAGAGACAGTGGCCAGAGCTGCATCCTAAGTTCGTCGAAATTCTCTCGAAGTATCGGATCCAAACTAAAGGCATGGCCGCATGCCTTCGAACGTCTAAAACAAATGAAGACGAAGGCCCGATTGAAACGGTCGTCATCCCTGTAGATAGAACTGAGCGAGACGATTCCTGGAAAAAAAGATGTCCTGTCGATTCTGCGGTCCTTTAGCAATAATTAAAGTGAATTTTTATATGCAAGAAAAATATAATCTGATGAAGAAGTTTTTAAAGTAGATGATTTATACTATGAGAAGTTAGCTGCTATAGTTATAGTCTTTTATAGAGAGCTTGCAATCACTGATTATATAAATCAGCAGCTGCAGTAAGTGTGTGAATGAAAGCAATTAATTTGCAAAGAAAGCAATTCAGTAGTTTTTATATAAAAAATAGAAAATAAACTTATATGAAAATGTATTTAATCTCTCTATATATTATAGAAAAACCAACTTTTCCATGCAAAAAACACTGTAATGTGACATCATGTGCATTCTATCAAAAATATTAGACTCATACAGCTCAAATCAATCTTCAAATCTTCATTCTTTTTTTCATTCTGCTTCTTTTATATATTCTCTACAGTATTTACATTTCTTATACTCTTCTCTATATTCATTTTACCAAATGCTCTGTAATATGATCTCATGTGATGTCATGTGTACTTCTTTGAATTCAGATGGGATTGAACAGCTGGCTCTGCAGCCTGTACAGCTCTGATTAATCTGATAATGGTGATAGAGGTGATACAGGGTGGAAGAGAGTGGTAAGGGTGATAGGGGTGGTCGGGGTGGTAAGAGGGGGGTAGAGAGGTAGAGGTAGAGGGTGGAAGTGATAGAGGGGGCTGCGGGGTGGTAGGGGCGGTGGTGATGGTAGAGGGGGTAGGGGTGGTAAGGGGGGGTAGAGGGGACTGCGGGGCGGTAGAGGTGGTGGTGGTGGTAGAGGGGGTAGGGGGTGGAAGGGGTGGTAAGGGGGGTAGGGGTAGAGGGTGGAAGTGGTAGAGGGGGCTGCGCAAGCAGCAAAGCGAGCGTAAGCGAGCGTTTGATGCTTGTTATTTTAATAATATTATCAATAATTATTATCAAATTCTGATTATATGAATAATTATCAACTGAATAAAACTGAATTTAATTTTCAATCTCAGTTTTATTTTGATTTTTGAAGAATAATTATCTTTCACTGTTTATTCTGAGAAATTATTTTCATTTACTATTCTTATATTAAATCTGATCCTGGTGGGACTCACACCAAGAAATGTATGAGACCAGACCAAATGGGATCAAATGTGAAATTCATGGTCCCGCCGGCCAGTCTAGCAGTGCCACTGGTGCTTCTTAGCTGTATAAATTGAATCTGAGCGGCGCAATCTTTTGATAGCGCCCGCCATATAATCTAGCTAGCTTCTCCGAGATTAATGAGACCAACCATCCTACAAAAAGATAGCAGAGAAGTTGAAATGCTAAAGAAATGCCGTGGATTTATGCCAGTGATTTCAAAGATCTTTAAAGTCATCAACTATCAAACTCTCACCACTATCGACGAGTGAGTGGCTCAATACGATAATGCACGGCGTTTTCCATAACTCCTACAGGGGACAGGGAAAGAGAGATAAACAAGAGCGGAGAGGGGAAAAACGACAAGTACTTGAACTGGTGAGCCTAGACAAGCTATTCCTAATTACCTCCAAATGCCTAAGTGCCTCCACGATTCCAGACATCCCTACCAATGTCCCGCCCGACATCTCCACTTTTTCGTATCCCTAGACTTGAGCTACTGCTTCGCCTTCGCTGGCTACGGTAAATACTCGGGTCTGCGGGGCTTAACCCGCTCGCGCGGGCATAGAGATTAAGGATGTCAGTCAAGCTTACCAGACCCACCAGGTGGCCAGATAGCCTCGCACTGGGGAGTGAGGCAGCTGGAATCGATGTGGAGATCGACGGTGGATATGGAAGCTGTGGAGGGCCAGCTGGGGGTTGAGGCGCAGGATTATGAGGTTGCCCAAGGTGCGGGGTAGCAGTGGGAGGGGGTAGGTTCCAGTTATTATTTGGTGTAGGCCCTAGGCTGGGCAAGGGAGTGGATGGGGGTGGAGATGGAGATCGAGGCTGGGCGGGAACGGTGGGTGGGCTGTTTAGGGGAATGTGAACGGTAGAGTGAGAAGGGGTGGAAGGCCCCGACGACGCAGGGGACTGGGGATCAGTTACCCACATCCTAAATTTTTATTTAAGTAAACGATTGTGACTGACAACGTAGGGGGCTCTTGGGAAATACGTGTGCCATACCTGTGGGATCTTGTAGCAACTATCTTCGCCACTGTGTGCGCTAACGTTGATTGCGGGTGAACATGGAAAACCGGGAATGAGTCTTTACCCTCATGCAGACCACGGGTTGATAGAATAACGGAGATAAAATGTATACATGTGTCATTTAGGAGAGGAAGGGAGGATGATTTGGTTAATAGCTGACTTCGGGTTAGCGCAAGCCATAACAGGGAGCCATATAGGAACACACCTTCACGTCTACAACAGATATGTTTCCAACGACATTGAGTTGATTATCGACGACTGCAATGGACGAAATCCCTTCACTGTTCATTAATTCCAAGGCTTCAGAGAGTGGCCTGTCTCCGCTATAGAACCAGTTAGTATATTTTTGAGAGCAGGTATTGCAAGTTTTAGAGCGAACGAGAGGGCGCAACATGTTATTAGCACATACTTTATCGATATTACTTGCTGCGAACCTATCTTCAGCTCTGCCAAAGACCGTGGATAAAGTTGATCGATGACAGGAAAGCTCTGTCCATTTTCCCAGAGAAACTTCACAAGCCGCCACTGACTGAATATACCAACAACTTCGTTTGTACCTTCTCTCGTAACAATAATCCGATGGATTCCACCACCAAATATCTCAACCGCTCTCATCAAACTGGCACTGGGAGGAAGATTTGTGATAGGCACGTTCAGGCCCAATTTCTTCACATCTCTAAGTGGGATTTCCTTCCCATCTCTAGCTTTTTTGGCCAGCTCTCTCATCGCCCCAACATGCTCCTCGCTTGGCTGCACCAAGCCTACCACAAGCAGGAGGTATGCATTGAGGTCCGCATAATCGAAAGTGCCAATAGCAGCTTTATCTTCGGGTTTTTCGCGAATCATAATAACGGGGATGCCAGAGTCGATAAGGACCTGTAGGTATAGGGAAACAAACAAAGGCACATATTAGTAGCGGGTTACTGGAATATTACTGATTATTTCAGCGAGTCCGAAAAGATATCGAACTATACCTTCGTAGCCTCTTCAATTCCTGTATCCATCTCTACAAATCGAAGATCACTTGGGGTGACAAGCTCTCCAATCGATATTTGGGTCCAATCACGGCCCGCAAAGGCTGGATCCGCCGCATTTCCGGAAGGTGGGTTATCGATGAGGCTCTGGACCGCAGACTGGGGCAGGGATGGCTGTCGACGAGCTCTAGGAGAGGATGGAGCAGCACGTAACGAATCACTGAAGCTATGGCGGGGTTGTAACGGGGGCATAGTGCCCAGACGGAAAGGAGCATTGTTAGAAGTTGGAGAGCGTGAATCAATGCTGGAACGTGAGTCCCTGGAAGCATCCGCAGGTGATCGACTACCGCGGTCCGCCATATCGTATTTGTAAAATTATATATCTGTATATAAAGGCCTGTTCTATAATGGGATACGGGGGCTTGCAGAACGAAGAGTGTCTTTGCCAGTGAGGGAGGGGCAAGAGATCAAAGGAAAGTCTGGGCAAGGTGAGATTCCCACAGACAACGCATAGGGCTTAAGGCTGGGGGGGGGGGTTCTGTATTCAAAGAATAAAGAAGAAAAACGAAGGGAAAACAGAGCATTGAGCTTTCGTAGAAAGGGAATAAATGGAAAGAAGACAGGGAGAAAGGAATTGGAGGAGGGAGGATGACAAGCGACTGGGGAGATGGCTGCTGCCCGCTGATATCAACTGCCACAGTCATTTTGCCCAGTCATCGCCCGCAGCCTGGCCAGGTGGAGCTGCGACGCCTTGCCTGTTGCGGCTTAGTGGGCCTATTGAACTCCATGGGGCCATCCATCCCGAGGTTCCTTCTAGCCCAAACAAACCAATCGAGAATTTCTTATTATTGCGCTCCTTACGCTGTATTTTATTGTAAATGTGAATAGTAGCTTGGACGAAAATGAATACATCTATATATTAATATAGTTGTGTCTATATTATATTCATATGCAAAAAGTGTGGAATGTCTAGTTGAAGGTAACCTTCTTAAGAATCGAAATTAGAGAAATCAGATGGAGAGCAAAAGTACTTTAAGAATGAGGGCCCGTCCAGTCTCTCCCCCGCGAGATGTGTTGGCCGCTTTTCCAAATGGGGTATCCGCGACTTGAGAAACAATTTAAGGGAAGCTTAGTTTGTCGCAGCCCCATCGTATCAACCCCGGCGGCACTAGTGCTTCCTTGCACCACCATCGTTTTGTGATGCGTCCAAGCCCCAAACTCCGGGGATTCCTGTACGAGTAATTTTCCACAGGAATAAACTAGGAGAGGAAATTGCCCAGCGCTGCACCAATGCGACGGTATGGCGGGTACGGGATCGCTTTCTGAGCCACATTCGCCAAGCGGACCATTTGTGAGATTTGACTGAGTGTATGTCTGTTATATCCAACGAGCTACTCTGCAAGCGCCAGACATAAATTGAACATGGATGACAAGATGTGATTGGTGAGTTAGTTGCATCTCCAGGGACCCCGCACTGAACTGTGTTACTATTGGGCTACGCACGGGCATTACCCCAGCATTATCTAGCTATCGGTTAGTTTGGAAAACCATGGCTTTTTCGAAGGCGTTCAAAATGAGGGGTATCAAACCTTTCGAATTCTGCGAGTAAATCGGCCATAGTATTCATGCTCTTCTGGATCTTTGGGACAGCCTTGCTGCGCTGCCTCTTCACACTGTTGTTCGCCGGTCCAATAATCTCGCGCTCAGTGGCCCGCTTCCTATTCAGCAGTCCCACATTGGAGTTTTGGATCTGCCGATGAAACCAAACTGACTTGTGCTTCTCCTTATAGTCTTTCGCATCTGGAGCTCCTAGAGAAAACTCAAGTAATGGTAGTGAGCGTAAATCTGACGCTTTCGAGTTGGCTGCAGCGTTTGCAGACGTAATATAGTTCGTATAGCACTCGTAGATAGTTTTGTTGGTGGCATTGACTCTACGAGTGCTCCATCCATGTTGTTGACCTACGCTCTTTGCGCTATTGTCAGCAAGCTGCCGACAACCCACTACAATGAGAGTCTCGAGCGACGGGAACTGATCCAGGTATGAGAAAATGCGCAAGGTAACGTCAGCCTGTAGGTGCAGCATCAATACTCGTAGGTTGTTGAAGGCTTTACTAGAGACTGCCAGTTCGCTCCAGCTCCTCACTACGCGATCGGTTAACTTGGTTATCGGTGCATCGTCCTCCGGAATGGCTGTCGATTTAACAGGAAAAGGGGCCGTGATATCCAGTGCCACCAGGTTGGTAATTTTGGATATCTCAACAAGTTCATGGAGATCAGCATGATCTGTTGAAATGGTCAAAACGGTACCCCACTTCAGAGATGGGGAGTGGATCAACCGGGAGTAGTCATGGAGGGACATCTTTTTCGTGGAGGCTTTTAAGGAATAAAAGGGTGCTATTTCTTTGAACTCCAGCTGGTACACTGTTGTGAATATTTTCCAGATATGCAAAGTTCTCTTTCTGCTAAAATTTCGGAGTTAAATGGGAGCCCCCTTAGAATAGAAATGGGGATGTCTCAAAAATGTGAGCCAAAGGTGGATAGGTATATTGCTCACCAGCGCCCTAAACAATCCCATAGGTACTTGGCTAGTTCCCAGGGGAAGTTCGAAAAATGAAGTGCCGTAAGTGGACGCTGGTCCGAAAGAGTTTTCCTCATCGCCATATGCTTCAAAGAGTTTGCGCCATAAGGGCTGCCTTCTTCCCACCCGGCAGGAAGGTAGGGCGATTCATGGCTCCAGCATGGTCCAGTGGCATCCGACGAATAAACGAATGATCGAACGACGCGGTCCGTATATACCTGGCCACTGCCCCGATCATATCCTCTTCTGGCCATTTGGCTCCGGAAACATTATTCTCCACGCCTGGGGCAGCGGAGTTCAATCCCACGCAAACAGCTTCTCGCGCAAACGATTGATTTCTTTTGAGAACTCACAGGGGAACAGTTCAAGGAAGTTAGTTCGGGTGTTTTTATGCCTTTGGGACAAGCGAACAATCACTATAGAGCTCTTAACCGCGCAATCCCTAGGCTTGCAGCAATTGGGGGCCTCTCACCTCTGCTGGATTTTCGACTCTTGATGTCGAACGAAATCTGAACATCTTTTGAACATTTGAAGCTCAGGACGGCCTAAAACGGAAAGGCGCTAAATGAAACGGGCCCATACTAAATTAAGTTTAGTGAAGATCTGATTAAGCTATATATAGCTTAGCGTGTCTCGCTTGATCTAGATATCAAACTTTATTTCCACTCCCATTCGATCTGGAGCAGTATTCCCATCTCACCGGCTTGTGCAGCGGGGGCCCTCGTCAAAGGGAGTCTCTCTTTGGCGGACGCATTATTTACTCTTGCTATTTTGTGTATTTTGCTGTTAGTCTGACACAGACTGGTGGTTTTCTTTTGCGACTAGAGATCCTGATTTTTTTTTGGACTACACGTGGCATATGGGCCTTCGAGGCAGCTGAAAATTAGCCAACTCTTTTTACCTAGATATAGCCGCGCTGTTTCTATTTGTTGCTTTCTGTTCTATGTGTGGGAGCGAATTAATGGCGCCCCCATCATGACAGATTCAGGGAACAAATTTGGAATGCTATCTCTCCCGGAGACATCTCCTTGGGAGATACGAACTGCCCATATGCCTTATGAAGAACTCAGTGCCTCATTCATACCGTTATTTTGCTTTTGTTTATCATGTATAACATTCCTCCTTGAAATTTACGTTCAACTTGTTGCACGAGTTTTCCAAATTTCCAAATTTCTGTACTTCCCATGTTCCATTTCCACAGATGAACATCCTCATGTCGTCACTTTTCTCCTCAAAGCTAAAAACGCAACGGTCAAGTTTTACAACCAAGGAAAATGATCCGAGTGACCTTCCAACACCTGGCTACTGCGGTTCTGGGAGCAAATCGACGTTTTCAAAGATGAGGAAGAGAATGCCTCCCCCGATAAATATCTCCTTGGGCGATGCCAATGTTTTTTTATAAGCGGTATGAACCCAGGTTCACAAACGACAGGCTCAGAGATCCCGTGGTCACCTGCCTCACCACCAATTCACCCGCCTCACGGGTGCGTAATACGTAGGGAGGAGTGGGAATCAGCAATGGTAATGTCTCCACCACTTTCACCGTGTTACAGTTGCCAGCGCTTCTGGTCGACACCAGTTGGACCCTCCCAACTTCCTCGGACTCCAAGGACCCAATGCTTCTCTATTTCTGCTGGATTGCCCGGCTCCGTCGTTGGCCCACCTGAAAGCGTGGAGTTGGATATTGCCTCTACTCCGATTAGAAACTTTAAATCTGTAGAAAACGGCGAGACCTCCTGATTTGATAAACAGACCTGGGTGGGTGATTACTCAGGGATATTTAATAGAGATCGTTCAGAGCCACAGAACAGGAGAAGAAATGATAAATTATGTGCGGATATGAATTTCTGGGATCTCCTCGAAGTGCTCCCAACCCTTTCTGCGGATGGTATCAGGGAGTTCTGGCATCCGGCTATGGTTCAGCAAGCTGAACGCATAGATCGTAGAAAGCTAAATTCGAGTGATGAGGCCAGGGTCCCCTCATACCAATCCCTACAGCCCTCAGTAGGATTTTTATCAATTCTGACTGTGACTAGTTTCAGGAACTGTACACATTGGCAGACCTTGAAACTGTGAAGCAACACTGTGAAGAACGGTTAAATGCCAAAGAAACCGAGATCACCGAGCTGCGACAGCTTCACGAGTGTCGTCTCAACATGCTTTGGTACAAAGACCACAGCAAACATACTGTCAGGAAAAAAGAGGTTATACACTACTGAACGCCACCAACATCGTATTACTACAATATTTCTCATCATCATCATCAGCTTACTACAACACTCATCTAATACTCGCTTATGCTAGCTCTCTTGGCTCGCACATATATTTTACTATAAATAGCTCTATCTTTTGTATGAAATAGATATAGGAGATAGGACATGAATAATATAACAAGCAGATCTTGATACACATAAGATTCATATGTCTTCAACATATTCATCTGTGACACTCAATTCAACAGTTATGAGCCTGATAAGCAGCATCTGAAGAGAAGCATAATACATCACAATCTCAATCCTCATTCAAATTTGACAACAATCATTTGAACTGAGATAATTGATTCTCATTTGTATACAGTTCAATCTACTTGACTGTTATATCTGATTCCTGGTAAACAGCATCTGAAGAGAAGTGTGATACATCAATCTCAATTCTCATTCAAATTGAACAACAATCATTTGAACTGAGATGATTGTTTCTCATTCATATACAGTCTGAAATACTTGACTGTTATATCATACACTGATTTCAATCCTCATTTGAACTGATAACTATCATTTGAACTGAGATGATAGATTCTCACTAGTATACATTCTGATATACTTGACTATTATACACTCTGAATTCTGATCATATCTATTCAAAATACTCAACTGATATGATAGATAAGACAATGTCTAGTACAACTGTACATCTTAGCATTTCTGAAGATTGAAAACTTTGATACAAGCATATGCTAGAATATGCAAAGAACAAGAAGATATCAGACTTCATCAATCTTGATAAACCTGATATCTTCTCTGAACTAGAAGAATCTCTGAAACCTGAGTGTTCAGAAGAAGTCACTGCAGAGGCTAAGATAGTATATAATATCAAGATCACTGTGTGGAAAATTAAATATATGAAATATGAGAAAATGAATGAAGGTATGACAAAGATATGAGATGTTATATAAAGAACAGTGAATGTCACAGAGCTATAACATATACATAGTAAGAATAATAATATGAAGAAGATTATCTATTTATTAAGAGATTAACTCTCACTCACAACCGCGGACTATCAAGATAATGTGAGAACTCAATATCATGATCTCTGTAAAGCACTGAAAAACAGAGATATAGAGAAGTAGTTAAATGACTGATCACTTATCAAAGATAATATCAAAGAGACAGATATAGCTGAACAGTTCAACTTAAAGAAAGATTTCTTAAATGTGAATCTAGCTATTAATGCAGATTATATACAAGCATGAGCTAAGAATATCTGATATGATAAAGATGTCATATCTTTGATAGAGTTAGTTAAGAACTTCAAGAAACAGTATAGAGAAATAAGTATTCTCAAAGAAGATAAATCTATGAACTTCACTACTCTAAATGAAAGATCTTAGCAATTATTACTAGTGATATTCAGAAACTGTATCTGCAGAGCTTGTCATCAATATACTCAGTGCTACTATCTCAATTTATCAAGAAAGTCATCTGAATAAAAGAAAAATAAGAAGAAGAGAACTCAGATTGATCAAGCTCTTAAAAATCAAGAATTGAAGAGATATGTTGATTGTGTGTTATCAAGAGATTCATTAATAAATACAGATATGATAGATGTCAATGAAGCAGTTCTAGAAGGAATAATTCTGAAGTAATCAGATTATTAATCTATCAATCATTAATCTATTAATTAGCAGATCTGAAAAATATTAATAAACTCTTTAAATTTATACTTCTATCTCTAAAACTTCTGGATCTTTGATACTGACACAGAATAGTATATATATAATAATCAAACATATTTTCTATTCTTTACATCTGTGAACAAGAATGCAGAAGTCTATACAGATGATTTCAGCACTAAAGTTAAAGATTATGAAACTGTTAGAACTATTATGATAAATGAAGCAGAAAAGCAGTTCAATGTCAATCTCATTAATACAGCTTATATACTGAATTTTCATACAAATATCATCACATGAAAACCATGTTTTTATATAGAAGACATCTATTATGATGAAAAAGACTTCAGATTGTGAAAATGCACAGATAATATAATCTTTGTATATATTAAAGTATTTAAGAGATTGCTAGTTACAGAATATAGTGAAATAGCTGTTTTCTCAACTATCTTAGAAAAATTCACTACTGAAGCTGATACAGCTATCATATTATATATATCTAATATCACTATATCTTTAAATTCTTCAACTTCTTCAAATTCTTCTTCTAATCTGTTAAAACACACTTCAACAAATCATTCTTTCAATCTGTTAATATACACAAAATCTTCTTAAAAATCTAAGATCTCTATAGCTACTCAGTCTACATAATATAAGAGATTAGAATATTCATTGAAAATCATCATTCAAAAGCTTGTAAATGATGCAACTGGTGTTCAAATCATCAATCTAGAAGATGCTGCAGATAAGCTTATCACTGAGCTTTGCAAACTCTGTCATCTATCTAATGTAAAAAATTAAATATCTAGACATTCTTATATTAGATCTCAAATACCATTTGAATGCCTATATATGAATATCACACATGGCTCTACACAGTGCTATAATAGTGAGTGTTATCTCATATATTTTATATATAATTATCTATGTTTTCATATAGCTATAACAGCTATCTGAAAATCAGAAATCTGAAAAGCTCTTAGATAAGCTATTAATTGAATTAAATATTAATTTAACTATACTATAAAGATCATTCATATTAATAATAATACTGTAATCAAGAAAGCAGATAATTTCATAAATTAAGTGAATAATGAAGATCTAGAGATGAAGTATTCTTCAGAGTATATTCATGAGTAAAATGATACAGCAGAGTGAGCAGAAGCAATATTAATAATAAAGATAAGAACTCTATGAATAGAATCTCTTCTATTATAATCACTTTTTTCTGAGATCACACTAGCTGTTATCTATCTAGCAAACTGAACTTCTACTAGAATTCTAGATTGAAAGTCATCTCTACAAGTATTGAAAGAATTTTTATAAATTAAATCACACTTCTATACTTATCTTTGAATCTACAGATATTGCATCTATATAAAGATATCAGATGAAGTCTTTAATAGAAATCACTCTCAGAAGCTAGATCTCTGAGTATATATTGAATATCTAGTTAAATATGATTCTATAAACATCTATTGAATTTGAATTCCACACTTAGAACAGATAATAAGAGCAAGAGATATAATATTTAATAAGAATAGAAAATTCAACTCAGAAGATCTCTACATTGAAAGATAACTAAGAGATTGAGTATCTAAGAAGATAAAGCTTCTATATATAAAAGTTCAAGAATCATCAATGACTTCTATCAATCAATTGAAAGAGATTATAGATGCAGATATTAATGTTTTTCATTTTAAAGAAAATGCTTAAAGCTCTGAAAAAATAGAGAAGAAAAATAATGTTTCAATTCTTTCTATATCAGATTTAACATCAGAGTTAACAGATTCTGATATTGATATTAATACTCATTCAGCTATAATAGATAGTTAAATATGAAACATTGCATTTAGAGCTCATGATATCAGTGCTAACTTTAATAAAGCAAATATCATTAATAACTGCAGAACCTGAAAATATAGAGCTGCTCATCTTATAACAGTTTCAAATGTTAAAAACAATTCATTATAAATAATCAATAAGATATTCTCTCAATTACATTCAGACTTCTACAAGTCTTAAAATTTATTTTCTAATACTGTTTTTACAGTTATCAATAAAACAGCTATATTAAGAATTCATAGATCTCAACTGCTAGATTCACTGAATCACTGAGCAGATATTAAAAAACACTTATATTATGAAGAATTTGAGAATACTGTTAAGTAGAAATGAAATAGTATATCTCTACAGAATATATATAAAATTACTAGTAAATTATAGAGAGATATCTTAATTATCTCTCTATAATAAGTATTTATCTACAAATTCAATGATAAAGATTTTCTTTTGAAATATAAAGCTCATATCTATATATACAGAGATCTTCAATCAATCACAGATCTCACTATAAAAGCTTATATACTAGCTGTCAGAGATCTCTGAATCTTATTAGCTTTAACAGCAGTATTTAATCTAGATATGAAACAGCTAGATGAAATCAATGTCTTCATTAATAGTAATATTAATAAGCTAGTATATATGAAACTATCTAATAAATAATGAAAGTTGAAGAGAATGCAAAATTTAAAGTGTATAAATTATATACTAAAACTTCTATAAGTACTATATAGATTACACAGATCATCTCTTCTCTGATTAAATAAACTATCTTCAATATTAAGAATACTAGGCTTTATCTCTATATCAGAGAATTGATGTCTCTTCTTTAATAATTAATTAATCATTTTCTTCTATGTGAATGATATCATCATTCTATCATGACAAGAAGATTTAAAAGAAAGAGATTAACTAATCAAAGATCTTAAAAACACCTATGAGATCTGACAGATAAGAGATTTGAAATGATTTCTCAACATATGAATAATATGTAATTATCTCAACTTGAAGCTCTGACTATGTCAGAATGCCTATATTGATAAGATAGTTAATACATATCATCTCACACATGCCTGCAAGGCATATACCTCACTAACTGATACTCTGTTAGAGCCTTTTAATAAGTCAGCTATATCTGCAAAAATTCATCATTATTAATAATATATCAGCTTCTGCATCTATTCAGTGATAATAACTTACTCTGATATTACTTATACAGTGAATAAACTAGCTATGTTTATAATAAATTCATTAGAACATCACTTATCAGAGATAAATAGAATGATATCTTATCTATATAATACAAAGAATCTTGCTATTCAATATAATGATAATATTGACAGATCTCTACAACTTAATCTCAAATCTGATATCATTGAAGCTGTCAGTAATGTCTTTTTCACAGATAATCTGAATCATCACTCTATATAAGAATATATCTTCAAACTATTCAGTGAGACTGTTGATTGAAAATTAAATAAA